TGGCTTGTTTCAACCCAACTTTGGGTCAAATATGGACTAACCCAAATTAGTTAAATATATGCAATTAAGACAAGACCAATCATAATGCAGTATGCAAATGTTATGATGACATCATAGCTGTCAACAAAACAAATGTCTGCATGTTAAGCAGGCCGAATTAATTGCAGTAGTTGAACATGTACAGTCACAGATTTAGAAGCAACACTAACCAGACGTTTGAGGAATATGACTGCAATCACAGTCTCTGTGTCTGATATAACAGGAGAAGAGAAAGATCCCTGCAGTGCCTAATGGAGAGCTGGCAGAGACGGAGGAACATGGTGGACATGGAGGCCCTGAGCTGCAGCGCACCGGGAGGTCAGTCTGGAGTGTGTGTGTGTGTGTGTGTAGACACATCAGAATCACATGTCAGTTTGTGTGAAAGCCTTTGAAAATAAAAATCTCCTTTTAGAGGAAATGAGGGGTGTCTCCTGCTTTTTAGATATTTTTTCCTTGTCCTCTAGAGCAGAGCTTCTCAATTCCAGTCCTCGCAACTCCTCGCTCTGCACATTATGTATATTTCTCTTATCACTTCAGACGTTTGTTCTATTCGACCGTAAGTGCCCTGCGAAGTGGAATTCACAGGATATTCCGCCATGATTCCAGTTGGAAGGGAACGTATATGTTCACGCGAGACGTGAATTTAAATTGTATTTATTTACAGAGGTATGTCACACTTCACACTTCTCTAGTAAGTTTGGTCTCAGGTCATGCGTGGAGCGCTCTTCTAACGAGCTGATGATCTGAATCAGGTGTGTTAAATAAGAGAGACATGCAAAATATGCAGAGCTTATTTCAGAAGAGATTTGAATGTAATCTTAACAACTGTGCCTAGATACCAAATTCTGCAATCGACTCTTTTATCATTTATCGTTACATTTTTTCCAAATGATCTGAGCTGTTATTCACATTTTATTGATCTATACACATATTTCTTTAAATTAATTTTAGGAGAAACATCTAAAACAAACAAAACAAAAGTCGATACATTTTTGTATTATCAGGGTTATTATAGTTAATTAAAACTAAAACCTTAATAAAACATTTTTGTTACTTGAAATAAAATAAACTTTAACTGAAATAAAATATAAAAGAATATTTTTCATTTCACTTGATGTGAAACTGAAATAAATATGACTAAAAAGGATGTAGACATTTAAAGCACACAAAAACGAATCAAAATGACAAAAATGCAATAAAAGCTCTAAAACTTTGAAATTAAAATGAAACAGAAAATATAAAAATAAAAGCTAATTCAAAACATTAATACAACTATAATCATTTCTCAATGATAGCAAAATAACACTGTGTATTACATTTTTTTTAAATGTGAAGTTTAATTATGCAAATTAAGTATAATCTGATAAAATATAAATAGCATAAATTTTGGAACAGAAATCTGAATATTGGATAAAGCCAGTTTCAATATTCTTGTTTGATTTTGTTGACATATTACAGTAGGTTTTTACAGAGGGGATTTTGGATTTCTCTTTTTATCACGCAAATCTGAAAATATTCTCAATAGCCAGACGGAAATATATTTTCACCATTTTCTTAGGAATAATGTGTTGTATAAAATCAGGCAAATGATATCTGAATAAACCTCTCTGTAAAAACCTTCAGAATATAGATGGGAATAAAACTGTGAAGTTTTAGTGTGGTGTATGTAGGTGCTGCTGAATTAGAGAGAAAAACCTCATTTGGATATGTATTGTAATTGAAATGGACAGACACACGTAGATAAAGTACAATAAAATGAACACTTAAACGTGTATTTTGGACGTTTTCTGTTCACTTGTCTGAAACAGTGTTAGGAAAAGCCAAATAATCCAAAATCTCAAAAGTGACCATTGCAGGAAAAAAAAGAAAAAGAAAAAGTTTTTGCCTGTATGTCTCGCCTTAAACACAACGGCTTAATTCCATAAACTATAAAAAAAGACAACCTCTGAGAAATAAAAAGTTCGTCTTTGAAGACAAATGTCTGTAAAAGGTCACGCAGCTTGCCGTTGTGTTCGTTATGACAGTTAAAGGGCACACACTGTAATAATGTAGATCTTTTAGGACGATAGTTTCATTCTGTACTACAATGTAACCGAGAGCCGTGCCACTGAAGACCAGGTTTTCGACTCGCCAGTGAACTGGACAGATGCCATGTTTGACATTTGGTCACACTCTTCCTGTTGAGTGACAGTTTTCACAACTTTGAGTGACTTTCTCTCTTCTCACAACAATAATCCCCTTCTGTTCTCAGATGGCTCTTTTCTCCCAAATGGTTATCTGATCAGCCCTAATTAATATTTCTTTCTGGTTAAAGAATTATGCCTTATATAGTATGTATGCACTGTGCACAAAATGTAGTTTTTCTGTATGCATGGAATATCTGGATGATATTTGCCAAATTGTGCTACAGAAAATATGGTTTACCAAAATGCAGTGCTCTCAATTTGACCTTGCGTTTCCAGTGCAACAAATACATTGGATGTAATATCTGCTTTGATTTTAACATCTCTTTTTTTACTAATTTTTATCAGACTGACAAATCTTGATTAAAATGAATTAAATACTGGATTTTAAACGTAAAATAGCAGAAAGCTGGACACCACTCACTGAATTGGTTGAATATTTGTACGATTTTATTCTTATATTTATGTGCTACATTGATTTCAGTTTTCTATATTATTCTGAATCATCCATCATTTTTGCCACAGCAGTCACCAGGTGGGTGAATTGTGAAAATGTACTGTTTAAAGTATTTATTCCAGACTATGAAATTGTATTTAGCATTGACAAAATGAAAATATATATTTTTGTTCCCATGACAGTGCAACTGTTTTTTCATATGCAAGACGCACCAGACTTTCTGTCTTGCCGTGAAACAACACTGGTCAGAAAACCGTGAATTCATGTGAGGAATATTTCACATATGTGTCGCCACATGAAGAAAAAACCATCCAGCCGTCCTATAGATACACTTCTTTTTCTGTTTGTTGTTAGATATGCGACCTGCGGGAAATTTATTGCACTCCAAAAATAAAATAATAAATCAATCGGTAATAATAGTTTGAAAATTAAGCCTATTTTTAGGTGCATTAAAATAGTTTTGCATTGTGACATTATTTTCATGAGAATTGCACACATTTTGAGGGTTTTGTTTCCAAATTCCTATTATTACTGTAAATGAATTTTTTTTGCATTATAGTAATGACAGTTTGGAAGAAAATGTTTTAATTGTCATGTAAATTATTGCCTGGTAAGTGTTTATTTTGCATGTAATTCTCTGTGGAATGTAACACTGTGAATTTAGTTTAAGCCAGTTTTCCACCTCATTGCGCAGCTCAGACGGCAGTAATCTTGTGTCTGGTGTTTTTTGACAGGCTTTTTGGTGGATTGGTTCTGGATGTGAAGAGGAAGGCTCCACACTTCCTGTCGGATTTCACAGATGCGCTCAGCCTGCAGTGTTTGGCCTCTTTCCTGTTCCTGTACTGCGCCTGCATGTCCCCTGTTATCACCTTCGGAGGACTGCTGGGAGAAGCCACAGAGGGACGCATAGTAAGAACATGCACATCTAATTTGCCTAAATCCAAATTTAAATCTATATTAATGTAGTCATGTAAACATGAAGCTTTGAGACATTTTCTCCCCTTTTCCCAGAGTGCAATTGAATCACTGTTTGGAGCCTCTATGACTGGAATTGCTTACTCGCTATTTGCCGGACAGCCTCTCACTATTCTGGGCAGCACCGGACCCGTCCTGGTGTTTGAGAAAATATTATTCAAATTCTGCAAGTATGTCTAATAT